CGGCGCGGCCTCGCGAGGGACTCGCTCAGCGTCCAAATGCCTCCCATTCATCACGGCCGCTCTCATGTTCTGAAAATAATTAAATAGCATTTTCCTTCCCTTTCCAGCAGGAGGCCGGTGACAGCCGATCCGTCAGCCAATTGGCTGGCGTTTAACACAGCCCTTTGCATCCATCATTTCCGACTGAAGTCACTGTGTGCGGGGCGGACGGACTCGGTCCTGCCTGGCGACGGCAGAGGCACTGCACCCGGGTGTTCGTGGCGAGCCTTCCTCTGGCCACGCCAAACCCCCCTCCCGTGGGTACCTCTGAGCTTCCCGCCGCCTCTGTTCCAGCTGACAACGCCCCCCGGGCTCCCGACAGCAGACAAGGTTGCAGCTTACCTCTCAGGCCTGGGCGCCCCCCACCACCCGCCTTCAGGGGAAACCCACCCGCGAACAGCCTCGGTCCCAGCCCTTGGGCCACACGTGGCCTCCGGGCAAACAGCCCGCCGTCTGGCTCTCCTCCCCTCCGGTTCCGTGTTATCTGCTCGGAACACGCTCCAATCTGCCTGTTTTTCTCATCGCCGCCCTCCCCGCACGGCAGCGTGGTCCTTATCGGCCGGCTGTCACCCTCCCTCCGCGCAGGCCCTCGCCCCGCGCGCTCATTAAAACGCTCCAAATTAAGACCTTCCCCGCCTCGCCCGCTGCGCGCGTCGGACCCCCCCACGACACGTTTTTAATTCTTATCGCAGGATTTCAGGCCGTCGGTACCTTCTATTCTGTTCAAAGGCCGATTGCACCCAAGGTTGTCGCCGCCCCGAGATCACCGCTCTCCGCGGCGGTTCTGTTAGGGATGTATTCACGCCGCCGCGTGGGGAGCCTGTATTCACGCCTCACTGATATCACAGCCCAACAGGAAAGCGTCTGGAGAAGCAATGATTTATGCAGATGACGGAGCGGGTGTTGGAGGGACAGGGGGGAGCGTAGGTCCCCGAGCGTCCTCCCCGCCCCGGGGGTCAGGGACCGAAGGAGACGAGCTGTCTAGGAATTATGTAACCACTCAGGCAACCACTCGCTTCTCTTGTAACCGTTTTATCTCTTCTAAAGGGAATGCAGAACCGATGCCTGCAAAACCCAGAGTGGCAGCCGCGGCCTGCACAGCCCCGCCCGACCTCCCCATTTCTCACGCTCCTGCACCCGCCCTGTCCCTCCTTCATTCATTCCTTCATTCATTCCTTCATTCATTCCCTCTGAGCCTGACACGATGACTTCAAAGAGTTCAGAGAATCGAAAAGAAGGGAGAGAGAGCCAGTTACGAGAGCAGGTGATGAGCAACAGGTAGTACACGGGGCAAAGAGCCTGCAGAGGGGAGCCCAGCTGGCACGGTGGGGCGTCCACCTGTGAACCAGGAAGTCACGGTTCGATTCCCGGTCAGGGCCCAGGTCCAGGTTGCAGGCTCCATCCCCAGGGTGGGGCGTGCAGGAGGTAGCCGGTCCATGATTCTCTCTCGTCATGGATGTTTCTGTCTCTCTCTCCCTCTCACTTCCTCTCTGAAATCAATAAAATATTTTTTTAATTTATTGTTTTTTCAGTGAAGGCTGGAGAAGACCAGTGCCGGCCGGCCACGCCAAGTTCACCCAACTCCACGTTCTGAAGCCACAGGCCCGTACCCAGGGGTGACGTCCCCAAATGACGGCACTGACGCACCCAGAGACGATGACTCAGCAGCCAGGCCACCGCGGCTGCTCCTACAGGAAGGACACTCTCCCTTGCCTCTTAAATCCTTCCTACCCTCCCCATTAGGTCCTTTAAACTCATCAGGGCAAACAGTAGCAATAGTGAAAATAATGGCTTTCAATGTTTTTGTGTGAATCCTCACCCAGGAGATTTTCCCATGGATGTTTAGAGCGAGTGGAAGGGAGGGGGGGAGACACAGGATTGCTTTCCCCACGCCTGTTGATCGAGCCCGCAATCAAGCTACATGCCCTTGACCGGACTCGAACCCGGGACCCTTCCGTCCGCAGGCCAACGCTCTATCCACTGAGCAACACTGGCCAGGGCACAATAATACCACAAGATTCTTAAAGGGCAGCTGTCAGCGCCGGCCCGGTGACCAGGGGGGCGGGGAGGGGGCGGTGCTCAGGGCATTTCTGAAGGCCGCGGCCGGCACTGACCTGCCCTGTGGGTCCGGGTGGGGGCCCGCACAGGTGAGCGTGGCCGTGGCCTGAGGGCCGCTGTTGTCGATTTCCTCCTGGACGGCCCACTGCTCCTCGCTGCTGACCCGCACAGCCACGATCTTCACACCCGCTGCTGCCTTGATCCTGGGGGGGCGGGAGGCGGGTGAGCACTTCCGCTCCAAACGGGGGGCGGGAATGTGTCATACACCCCGGCCGGCGGGGCTCAGGGGTTGAGCGTTGACCTCTGGACCAGAAGGTCACGGTTCGATTGCCCATCAGGGCACAGGCCTGGGTTGCGGGCTCGATCCCCAGTAGGGGGCGTGCAGGAGGCGGCCGATCCATGATTCTCATCATGGATGTTTCTAAATATATTTCTCCTTCCTTTTTCAAGGCAATAAAAATATAAAAAAAAAAATAGAATAAAGTACAAATTAGTTTTAAAAAAAAAAAA